CAGACAAACGTAGTTTATCCTCCGTGCATCGCACAGACAAATCAAAACTAGTTTCGGAAAGCCCTGAATACGTACTTCACAGAGGAAAAAAAGTAAGTTGCTACGTTTTACCGTTCGCGAGTAAATTCAATACTTTGTTCTTCAAGTAAAGCTTTAAAAAAAATATTTATTTTTTCAATCGATACTTTTTAATCGAAAGTATCACGATACATCACCATATGAATATATTGTCACACTCCTATCGTCTAGGATGAGTCTGGTGTGTGTGAATGGTTGGTGGTGGTCGGAGGGTCTGATAGCATATACTGGTTGCCTCGCTTCTGTCAGTGTGCCCCAGGGCAGCTGTGGCTATAATAGTAGTTTATCACCACCGTGTATGGAGTGAATTAATAATGACAAGTGAAACATATTTGAGAGTCTTGAAAAGCGTCGTATAAAACCAATACATTATTATTATTATTATTAAAACATTAAGAGTTCCTTTATTCGTCCCAACTGGGAAATTTCAGTTTTGCATCACCTGTTACAGCACACTAGAAATGTAAACATTAACTCTACTGAAAGAAAATGAAATAAAATCTTTAACTTTACCATAAAAAGCTTTTTAGCTTTATGAAAAATAAGCAAATCTAAAACGTTTACCTCAATTATCTTTTCCAACTGAGCCATTATTTTTCCACGCCTGGGAATACCCATTCTGTTGTGTGCACTCGAGTCTTTTGGACCTGCACAAAATCCTGAAAACTCTGAAATGTTGGCATGGATTTGGACCAATCACAGAACAGGGAGGGACAGACAATGATGATGCACTTTTGGACAGATGGAAGTTTACAGATCCATTATGAGGGCTGCAGAGGGAGTGCAGCTACAATGGTTTAGAAGTTTTATCTCTGGAAGACAGAAATGTGTAAATGGGGACAGACTAAACTCTGGTACAAAAATCATAGAAACCGATGTTGCACAAAGGATCTTAATGAGGAGTTTTTCATCCAGTGGGCTGTGGCCTGTTGATGAGCCATGATACAGTATGTTGTGCGGTGTGTTTTGTAAATCATCCAATATCACCTTGTTGGTCAAAACAAAAAGTGGGAAGACTTGTGCTGGTTTGATATTCTAATAAAACGTTGTTTAGAATGACTTAATATTGTTAATAAAGTTTAATGTCTGTATCAGTTTCAGCTGATGGTGTTTCAGCAGGTGAGTGTTTTCAATGATAGGGCTGTGACACGACTCAAAAAGGTTGCAGAACACTGCCCCAGGAGAATCCACTCCTATTCCTCCGTAACTGCTCTAACCACCAGTGGCTGCGCACTCGCACGGTCGAAGGGAGGGTGCAGCTGTGCTCATAAAAAGGACATTGAGAAGACACGTGTATGGGAGAAGAGCCATGTGCAGATGAGATACCCACATGCATGCACACACACACACAGCCCACGGACCAATTGTACAGTTTAGCCTCTTTCAGACGCACAAAGTGGTTAAGTTAAGTAACAACAACAGGACATACATAAGGAGCGTGGATGATTTTATGTAATGCACAGAATACACAAAGGGGCACTATGAGCTCAGTAGAAACTTGCTGTTCTCCTCCCCCGCTGTAAACCCATTTACACCCTCCCTCATTGGGACTATTGCTTAACTTTAATCACTGCACTGTTCATACAATAGGCACACTTAATAATGAGGTATAGGTACATATGTATACCAGCTGGTTTAGGAATCTTCTCTTCAAATCCAAAACACAAATACTGAACTTGTTTAAACCTTTGGAAAAATCAAGGGCACCATCTTGAATCTTGTTCAGAACAAAGGCTGAACAACTGCGATGAGATACAGCTCATGAGGTTTATACGATTACAGTAATGAGATTCACGCAGCTACAAAAATTGCATAGAAATGCGCCACGCCTTCAGTGCCATGTCTTCAGTGTAGGAGCCAAAGCAGGTCTTGCACTGTTCCTCTGCGATCTTATCCAAAACTACGTCCAAAACATTCATTGTTTTGGTGACGAGCACGGCGGAATGTGAGGAGGGGCCGTTTACGTATGTACTGTCCTCGTGTATCACGGACAACACGGGCGTAAAGTCAATGCAGTTTCTCTGATCTCTCATCTTACCCATTAAAACCTGTGTGTGAACAGTGCCTAGAATGTTCATCCATCATTTTTCCGCTGTATCCGTTGGCGAGTCGCGGTGACAGCGGTCTGAGCAGAGACGCCCAGACTTCTACTCCACACACATACTTCCTCCAGCTCATCCAAGGGAATCCTGAGGCTTCTGGGAACGGATCCTTCCATCTCCCTTACAGAAGTCACTGGTTTTGTTGGCGGCCTCCTCGGCAGGGCCCCGGGAGTGTAAGAGAATTTAGATTTCATTTCATTTCATTTTTTCACCAGCCCTGTATATAATTCATATTCTGGGCTAAATGGTCGGGTTATTATCAACTATATTTCACTGGAGACATTTCTTAATGAAGAAATATTACTCATTATTTTTGACCTTTAAAAATGATAATGAGTCCATCTACTTTGTCATTGTGAATAATCTACAGTAAAACATAAGATGAATCAGGTATGAAGGGTAAATACTACCAGCTGCCACTACAGTCATTTGATTGCAAAGAACACAATAAATGGGCAATACTTTAGTTTTAAAGGCAGAAAACTGCTTTGATGTGTGATGTCATAGTGATACAATGACATCATACTTGCTTGATATCATTGTGGATGTTATGTTTCATCTCTAGGACTTATCCTCCAAACAAACAATTAAATACATGAAAATACCTCCAGGGGTATGACAGATGAGGGATTCATTTTGGTTAAAATCTCTAACATCTTAATCTTGCTTATGTCTCCTTTAAAAGACCTTTGAGGCAATTATTTAATTCTAAAAAGGCAGAAAACAGCTCTGTCCATGTTTCGAGGATTTTTTACCATAAGAGGTTTTGAAAAGAAGCAAGTGGCCAGAAGGGTTGAATACAGTATGTTTTGTGTGCGATCCTGTAGATGGAGTACAGTGCCGTCCGTGCCGCTGCTAATGTGCTCGGTCCTATCTAAAGTGGCCATCTTCACCACTGGAAACGAGTCTTGTGCTTTTGGCCCGCGGTCAAAAAGCCGCCGCCCCAGACACAGCGATGCCCGACAGATGTTATCAGAATACGGAAGAATGTCCCAAATGCCCCCCGCTGCTCTCTCCTCTCCACGCCAGGATTTGTTGTCAAAGGGGAGGGGAGTTTTTCCATTTCAAGAGACTTTTTAATCAAACGCACAATGGAACCCCGCAGTTCGCCGATGGAGCGGGCTGCCACTTTGGAATCACTCCGGCGGTGATTTAATGAAGATGGCTGCGTGTGAGAGGAAGTCAGTTTGAAGTGAACCAATCGAATATTCTCTATCTCACTGTTCAGACACAGAAGAGGCCATGAATAGTTTATTGGAAGGAGCGAGTTAGAGACCTGATGCCAACCATTTGGGGAAAAAAAGACTTGAGCTTTGTAAAAGAAATGACCTCCGGCTGAGGCCACGATCCTCTGCGTTTATTTGACTAATACTAATACTGGGATACGTTTGTCAATGCTATTGTATCAGACTAAAACTATGAAAGTGTAATGTTGGAGGTAATATGACTAATCCAGGGATTAAAGAGTTCCGTCTAGGTGACGGATTTCCGTCAAATGAAATTGGTCTGGAAAAAAAAAAAAATATATATATAATGATAATAATACACACAATGAAATGATTGATTATAAAAATAATATATAGTAATACATATACGTGTGAATCTGTTATATATATATCGATGTATAATAATAATTTGAATATAATTGTATTTTTATGTATATAGAAATAATAAGTAATATAATGACGAGTGGGCCTTGAACGTGCCGTGGCCACATGAGCGCTCCGCAAATGAATCAAGGCAATGGGACGTAGCTGAGCTCACGCGCAAATGAAGACGCGATGAAGTTAGCATTGGTAACACGGAGGTGAAAGTTTCTGGAAACTGCACGGAGCTTTTGAAAAGGAGAAGAGGAGGAAAATTGAATCTCGAACGGAGCGATAACAGCAGCAGATCCGCGGACTGGTAAGCTGGGCGCGTAATAGAGGAAAGGTAATTAACGTTTACCAAACGCAATGCTATTTACTTAACGGAATGTACAAAACGGACTTTGCTGCAACTGGGAATGGGTCACAAACATGTCTTGGTGAGCTTTTGATATTGTCTTGTTTGCGATCTTCTTGCAAAACTCAGCGTGATGTAAAAGAGCCAATCAAGAGTCATGGTGCGAAAAGATGAAAGTGGCCGGTGCTTGTGCGTACTTTGCCATAAAAAATTGCATATATGGGAATGGGAGTAATGAGAAAAAAGGCAGCTGTTTGTGCACTTTCCCACACTTCATCTTTACCTGGTGCATCAGCAACAACTAACACTAGGCTTGCTCTGGCAGACCGTGTCTGTGGCTTTATCGCAGAAAATAACGTTCAGAATATCACTACCGCTGGTAGATTTATTTAAATCATTTGCAGTTGATGGAAGTGCACTGTGCACTCAAACTTGATAGGGAAACCTTTTTCTTAAATATTGACGTGTCCACAAACAAATGTGGACAGAATTTTATCGTCCTTTTGCGATATTTTGACGAGGACAGAGCCAAAGTGTTGACGCTCCATATCGCCTCAAGTAAAGCTACTCTCACTAATATTCTGTCAAAAAGTGATCCACTTATATTTCATATCAAAATACACTGTATATCTTTGAAGAATTCATTTGAGCTGTATTCAATATACAATCTATTATACAATAATATATTGTAATTAAAAATATAACTTGGTCCTGCATATTACTGTGATTTACATGTGATAAATTTCCATGCAAAAATTTTCAGTCAAATCTTTTTTTTTTGCTTTAACCCCTGGACTAATCCCAGTGAATAACTAAGTATTTAATGATGCTTCACATGTATAATTAATTCCCTTTGTCCACAGCTGCAGCCTCCTTATGTCATCAGGTGAGGTCTCAATCTCCCTCCTGTCTCCCCCCTCCTCTGTCCTCCCTGTCCCCTCCCTCCTCTGTCCTCCCTGTCCCCTCCCTCCTCTGTCCTCCCTGTCCCCTCCCTCTTGTGTCCTCCTGTCTCCTTCCTGTCTCCTCCCTGTCCCCTCCCTCCTCTGTCCTCCCTGTCCCCTCCCTCCTGTATCCTCCCTGTCCCCTCCCTCCTGTCTCCTCCCTCCTCTGTCCTCCCTGTCCCCTCCCTCCTGTCTCCTCCCTCCTCTGTCCTCCCTGTCCCCTCCCTCCTGTCTCCTCCCTCCTCTGTCCTCCCTGTCCCCTCCCTCCTGTCTCCTCCCTCCTCTGTCCTCCCTGTCCCCTCCCTCCTCTGTCCTCCCTCCCTCCTGTCTCCTCCCTGTCCCCTCCCTCCTATCTCCTCCCTCCTTCCTGTCTCCTCCCTGTCCCCTCCCTCCTGTCTCCTCCATGTCCCCTTGATGAGCCAGCTGCCTGCCTTCTGATTGGATCATGATAAGCTGGCCTCAGATCTGATTTCTCTCCATGTCGTTTCTCCTTTAATCTAATTAGATCAATTGGGCATGAAAAGAGATTTATAATGGCTGATCCGCTCTGCGACTCCACAGGCTGTTGATCCATCATAATCTGTGTCCAGTGTGAACCATTACAGCCTGATAGATGAGCCCTAATGACCAAAATAACAGTTATTTGTGGTTTCTTACTGGGTAAATGATAGTTGAGTTATCCTCTAATATTATTTATTCCCAGAAGGGATGTGTCCTATGCATTGTCAAAATAATTAAGCGAAATAAAAATTCAATACATATGCAGTAACACAATACAAACTAATACACAAAATAAAAATATATGAATACTAATGAAAAGCTAAAGAGGTTTGCGTCTTGAGCTAACTACAGTATTAAAAATGTGCTCCTTGGCCCCTGAAATATTCTCTTTGGGAAGACCAGAGAACATTTACAGTGGTCTAAATGACTGCTGATGAAAGCATGCATCAGCTCTGTGTTCAGAAAATGTCGGACCTGTCGCTGTTTCTCACAACATGAATTTTTCATGGTGCGGATTTTGTGTTATTTTGTACTTCTTCCTGTCCTGTTCCCCCGATTGATTGTCTACCCCACCCTAATGTGTTTCACCTGTGCTCCTCCTCATGTGTGGCTGGTCCATTCTATCGTGTTGTGATATGAAGCACCCAAAATGCAAGAATGCATAAGAAAAAAATAATAATGTTTTAACGATAAATAGACATAAGTCCAAGGTAAAACCAAACTCAAAAATCCAACACATGAACCAGGAACATACACGGACAAAGACAATGGACCAGCCACACATGAGGATGAGCGCAGGGTAAATATAGACCAGGAGTGTCAAAGTCAAATGCATCAGAGGCCAAAAAAACAAATTTGCTAAAAGCCAAGAGCCGGACTGGTTCAATGTTTATTAAAACATATTCAATTTATAGCATATAACCTATTGACCCAAGACAATACAGTAAACTGTATTTTATTAATTTATTAAATGAATAATCCAATATTTTTGTATGGCTCTGTCAGTCATTTCAAGTGAAAACATTTCAATCTGGAGAGACATGAGATGAAGATTGCATTAGAATATTTATTGTAGAGATGCATGAATAAACACCAGCAGACTTAGATTGAGAACTAATATATTTATTGCATTAGGTTTGGTGATTGGACCCCGGCGGGGATACTGCATGACGTATGCAGAAGGGAGTTTTGTAGAAACCAGAGCTTGCGACCAGGTTCTAGGCCCAGGGCCTAGAACCTGGTGGCGAAGCAGACATGACATGATACTTGGCTGAAGAGGCAGCGATGGGGAGGAGGTGGGTTGCTGCACGAACAGACCTGAGAGGCTCTGTTTGAATGCCGCCACGATGAGCACAGGTGTGTTACTGAGCAGCTGAGGCTGTTGAGCTCAGTCCAGGTGTCGAGAGGAGTCCAGTTTGGCAGCATGACGTCTCTTTGATCTTCCATTCTGAATCTGCACTTAAGCTTCATTTTCTAACATACTCACAGACAAAAGTAAACTTCCCTCAAAGAGAAAACGTCCTAAACATTAAATGAACAATCCAATATTTTCTTATGGCTCTCTGCGGCAGGTTCTAATACTTATCAAATATCATTCTGGGGCTAAGGTAATTCATTCACGGTACGGATCTGACCCCGGGGCCTTGACTTTGACACCCATGATATAGACAAAGACACATGTGAAACACATTAGGGTGGGGTAGACAATCAAACAGGGGAACAGGACAGGAAGTAAAACTAAAAATGAATACAGAGAACTTAATATCAAAATAAAGTAACACACAATCCACACCATGACATAATGACAACATTTTTACCAAACTGTGCCACAAAACACCGACAATGGAAGTAAAGACAACAGGTGAACAGGTGATCTTGTGTTTTAAGGAATAATCTATTTGTTTTCTGCTCAGTGTTCACACAGCTGCACCGGCAGATCACACGGCCTCTGGCACCCTGTGGTCAAGCTGTAGCGATCCGGCGATTGTTAACAGCAAGTGGGATTTCTGCTTAGAAATAATGCCTCAGACTGGATCAATACTTAGTGTATATGTGGCGGTGGAGCATGTGTCTTGTGGAGCGTAGGGTGGTAAAGAATCACGCACACTGCTGGCGGGAGCTCTCTTTGATGTTTCCATGTTCTCTCCATGTTGAGGTGATAGAGTTCAATTCCTGTTTTGAAATGATTTTTTTGAAAACTCTCAATGCGCTTTGTTCATTCAAAAATGCCAGACTCTTGGAATGTGTCTGGTATGTGTGAGAGATTGTGGCAGAGTTTCAGAAGCAATATCAAAATAATAAAAGCTTTTTGAAAATTATTTCAGCCAAGCAAACTTTAAGTGTTTTTTGGCTACAAATAACTATCAAATAGCAGACTGGTTATTTCGTCTTTGGTTACACTGAAATGACTCCACTGCGGGACGAAGAATGGACTTCATATGAATCAATCGAAAGCAGAAATTACAAATTCTTAAGCAGTCGTCTCTGAGGACTTTTTTAAGTTCCTCAAAAACATATCAGAGAATCAATCAATCAATGCTACATCTTTTTGACAGATTACAAATGAAGCGTCCGTTTGCCGATGTGGGAAAACACAGCGCCGGGTTGAAGATGGCAGTTGTTTTGAAAGTGGTGCAGGGACCAGCATGGGAGCGCTGGATCAGAGGAGCCAGTTTGAGGCAAACTTTGTGCACTTATCTCTTCCTGGCCTGATACATCATTTGTCTGATGCCGCCATTCCCTCAGGCACTAACAGCTGCTGCCAAAGTCTATTTCACTAAACTGGTTCATACAGCAAGACTTCACAGGCTCTTTCAGGCCTCACATTAACCCGACAAGAAAACGACTTTTTTGTTTGAAGATTAATAGATAAGCTGCAGACGACACTTAGTTGGGAAGGAATTGATCAAAGTTTGCTTTGGCCGAGTTCAGCTGTTACTTAGAAAACTGTTGCAAGTAGCTGGGGGAGTTTATAAATAAAGGAGAATTTTAAGAAGTGGTTCATTTTAAATGATGCATAATACAGTGACAAATTCAAGACAAAACAATATGTAAACCCTTTGGATAGCCGCACGGCCTCAGTCCTGGATCTACAGCCTCAGTTTGTCTTATCAACACATCTGCCCTCTCTAATGAAGGCATGTGATTGGTCAATCTTTGATGTTGCTCATATCTGGATTTACAAAGATAAGATCACAATATATAAACACCACGATCACAGAGAGCGCTAAACTTAGTTAGACGGGTTTACTTTTACAGGTAAGTCAATAGGAGCGAGATCGAGTTGGAGCTAAACTTTATCCATGAGCACTTCCCTATTGGGCTTCATTTATCTTGGGGGCTAGCATTGTCAATCTAAATACAGGTTCAGACGATAACACTATAATAATAGTCCAATTAGAACAGTGATTGAAATATAATCAATGATTACAGAACACATATTTGCCTCCTACATCAAACATAACCTCAGATCGATTTAAATATATCTGTTGTATATGAAGTATTGTAGACACTCCTGCCTTTTGATGCATTTTTATGTCTTTGTCATCTACAGTAGTGTTGACAGTCATGACAGTGTCTGGAGAGTTTTGCTGATACAGTGAGCTCAGCTGTCTCTTTAAAGTGATTCAAGAAGACCTCTGAGGGGCCACGTCCGGAAGAGTTTCTGTAGGTGGTGGTTTCAAACGTTATCTAAAGTCTGGCACAAACACCAGCCCTCACAGAAAACTCACCCAAATGTGACCTGAGGATTTCTGCAATCAAATAGTGTTCATCACAGGCTGGAATGTAGAAAGGAATGAATATTATGCATTGATTTTGGCCCTTAAAATGTATAATAATACTTTAACTTGCAGCCTGAGACCTGAATTTACAGCTTCAGTCCTGGATCTACAGCCTGAGTCCTAGATCTACAGCCTCAGGCCTAGATCTACAGTCTCAGTCCTAGATCTACGGTCTCAGTCCTGGATCTACAGCCTGAGTCCTGGATCTACGGTCTCAGTCCTGGATCTACAGCTACAGTCCTGGATCTACAGCCAGTCCATCCATGGGAGTATTTTCCTCTCTGAATATGGGCCTCCCAGAGGTTTCCCACTTTTTTCTTACTAAGTTTTTGAGTTGACCCTTGCAAAAACAGGAGGGTCTAGGGACACAAGGATGATCTGGGACAGTAATTCCCATTTCTGGACCGTGGTCGTCCAGCTCACTATGGACCAATGGCTCCTATGCATTTGTTATTATTGCTTTTCCTGTTTTCGAACTGTTTGATTCTGTCTCTGATGAAGTAACTAGTTGGATATTTCAAATCTCCTATAAAGCAGATTGTAGACTGAATGTGGCGAGTGTACGAGCCAAAATGTTCGTATTGAAAATGAGTCTTTGTCATCATTCCGTGTATGTGCAGACAGAACAGCTCGTAGACTTTATCTCTGGCTTCAGCATATGTGAAAGAGGGTTTCTCAAGTCCCCACAGCTTGGAAACAGGCCCAGTTATTGCAGTTGCGTGTTTTTGTACAGAAATGTTTTGTGTCTAGCTCATGCAATAGTCTGTTCGTGGCGCAGTGGGATGTGCTGTGGACTGATACAAGCTGAGGAGTTCAAAAGCACTGTGACTCCAGGGCCGAGGTGCGATCAAACAGCAGCGAGCGAGTAAACACAGCCGCTGCACTGAACTCACGCCCAACACAACACAACCAGACCTGCAAACTTTCAGAAAATGCGTACTTCTGTTTGCTAAAAACTGAAAAAAGTAAAATCTTGGAAAGATAAATCTACAAAAAAACCTAAATGCTTTTTTTTAAAGGCAAGTTTTATTTTGCTTTAATGTAGTTTTTCATGTAAGATTATTTAACTAGTTTTAGGATAATAATACTTCATAATCTTATTAGAGAAAAATGTCTGAGCAGTGAGTTTTGA